ATTATAGTGTTTGAAATTCTGGGTAGCATAATCAGACAAAAGAAATGCAAATAGGAAAAAGATAAGGAGAAGGCGCTGTCTCCATTAGGTAAGTCTGCCTCTGTTTTAAGATACTCTCAGAAACTACTCCCAACCTTCGGTCAGAATTTTGCCACATAACCACTGCTGCCTACACAAGGGCGAGGAGACATTTATACCACATATAACTTGAGGTTCCTGAAAGAATATATTCTGGGAAGGAAGCTAGCAGTTTCTGTCACAGAAAGCAAGAGACCACTTAGAAGATCAGCTTTTGAGAAAACATGATGGTGGCTTGTACTATAGTGAGTCTGATACTGGAACCCATAATGAAAGTGATTTTTGAAGGTGGCAGCTATAGGACCCATGGTGGATTAGATATGGAAAGAAAAAGGAGAGAAACAAAAGTTTCTTAAGTTTCCACCTGAAGCATTCAGTAGATGTTAACAGCATTTAAAATGAGAAAAATTAGAGAAAAGTCAAGGGTTTATTTTGGGGAACTGGTAATGTAGAATTATGTTGGTTTATATACATTGAATGAGTTGTATATACATGTATATGTGCTGATGTGTGTGTGTGTAGCCCAAAGGTCAACATTGGGGGAGGGGAGGGTCTTCCTCTATCACTCTCCTTTTTTTTTTTTTGAGAAAGTATCTCTCTCACTGAACCTGGAGCTCACCAATTTGGCAAGACTAGCTGGCCAGAGAGCCTTAGGGATCCTCTTGTGTCTACACTAAGATTATAGGTACATGTTACCATGCCCAGCTTTTTACAGGTGTGTTGAGGTCAAATTCAAGCACTCATACTTACATGAGCACTTACGTATTTATCACCTGAGTCATCTCTTTAGCCCCCAATGTATTAAATTTGAGATGCTAGAGTTATAGCTCATGGCAGAAAGCATGCTTAGCATTAGTGAGATCCTGAATTTAACCTACCCCTGTATGTGGTGTGGAGAGTCAGCTAAGAAGAAATCACATCCTCTTGAATATCTCTAAGGATAGTATTTCCAAAGGTTAGCCTTACCCTACATTCCTCAGAAATACATCTAGTTTAAATAGATTCTTCATTTATATGTATTCATTTTCTTATATTTGTGGATGGAGAAGTACATTGATAGGATGGGCATCCTTTTGTATATGCAAAAGGTAGGTTTCCCTGAAGGGTATGTGGGAATGGAGAAGGCCAGGCAGGATGACTGGATTTTGTGTTTCTCCCATGGATATAACTTCTCCTTTTCTATCTCCCTCTAGTTAATAAAGAGCATTGAGTGTCAGCAAGCTCTACTCTGCTGCTCTGTCAAGGCCCAAACTTACATATGATCTGACATATTTATTGTTGATAGAGATTTATTTGGGAATGGGTGATTGAGAAAAGACAGTAATCATATGGTCTGTATACACACAGAGAGATCATTGATAAAGGTCCAAGTGATCCAACTGTTCAAATGCAGCTCCTTCCATTAATAGCTATGAAAATTACCTGATGGTCTGGTTCTCTTTGTATATGCAGACTTCGAGTTTACTCCTCAAGACCACCTTATTTGTTTAAGGCTATGCTTTTCCAGGTTGGGTTTTACCATTAGGTCAATCTCCTATCTCCTTGATTTTTAGGGTACTTGTATATCTCACTTTACTGATTTCTGGTAGTGACATGAGTTCTTCCTTCTTGAGTAGTATATTCTGTTAAATATGCTGGAACCTTTGGAGGCAGACTAGATCCACACGTAGAATCCACTTGATTTGTTTTGCTGTCTTTCTAGCTTCCTACATTGACATCTCCTGACATTATAACTTCACTGAAGTTTGTCTTTACAAATTATGATGGTTTGAATGAATGTTCCCCACAGACTCCAAGTATTTGGATACTTGGTTCCTAGTTCATGATGTTGTTTGGGGAAGCTCATGGAACCTTTAGGAGGTGTGGCCGTACTTTAGGAAGCATATCATTGGGGGCAGGCTTTGACAGTTTAAACCCATGTCTCACTTCCAGTTTCTCTCTCTGCTTCCTGTGCCTATTTGAAAATGTGGGTGCTCAGCTTTCTGCTCTGGCTACCTCTGCCCCTGCCATGCTCCCCACCATGAAGGACTCTTAACCCTCTGGAACCATAAGCCAAATAAACTCTTCCTTCTGTAAGTTTCCTTGCTCATGGTGTTGTATCATAGCATAAGAAAAGTAACATACACAAAAGCATTTTAAGAAGCTGGCATAGTGACAGTCCCATCATTTGGAAGGCAAAAGGCCAGCCTAGGTTACATGGAGAGACCCTGTCTCAAAAAAAAAAACAAAACAAAACAAAACAAAAAAACTATATTAGTTGAGTGTGATGACACATGCTATAGTCCACTCACAAAAATGAGGCAGAAGGATCACTAGTTTGAGGCCTGCCTGAGACACACAGTAAGGCACTGTCTCAAAAAAACAAAAATCAAGTACTCACTTATCCAACAATATAGAACTAAAAAGAGTAAAAGTGTTCTCCTTCCCTTCCTCCAGAGTACTCCCTTTGAGGAAAAAATGCTGGCATTTCAGATTTATTCACATATTGTTCTGTTTGAAAAAAATGAAATCATGTATTTCTTCCATTTGTTCCTCTTACACTTCACTATTATTTGCTTCATTTGTTATTTTCTATGTTTCTTATTAAACTTATTGAAGCAATTGATTTGTTTTGGGGTTTTGTGTGTGTGTGTGTGTGTGTGTGTTTTTCATTTGAGACAGGGTCTCACTATGTAACTCTGGCTGACCTGGAACTCACTATATAAACCAGGATGGTCTTAAACTCATAGAAATCCACTTGCTTCTGCCTCCCAAGTGCTGGGATTAAATGCACACGCCACTATGCCCAGTCCTATTTGAAGCAATCGTTACCAGAGTCAGGGGGAAAGCCCTGGCTCCAGAGTGTCCTAGTAGACTAGGCTCAGCCACCCACTCCAGGCTCTGGTAACATGGCCACATTGAAGAGGTCTTTTTTAAAATTTTCTCTTTTCTCCCTCCCTTCCTCTCCTTCTCCCTCTCCTCCTTCTCCCTCTTCCTCTCCCTGTGGGGAGGCATGCACATGTCACAGGTGCATGTGTACAGGTAAGAAAACAACTTTGGGGAGTCATTTCTCTCCTTCCACCATTTGTGTCCTAGAGACTGAACTGAGATCGTTGGGCTTGTGCAGCAAGCACTTTCAGCCACTGAGTCATCTCACTGGCCCTGAACGGAGGTCCTTATGATTTAACTTCTATCTTCAAAGTGCTTACAGCAATCTAAGTGTCATATAGAAAGGAGAAACAAAGGCAAGATCTGGGGATCTCTGTGCTAAGAATTCATGTCAATCTATATCTGGTGTGGCCTGGTTGATCATTTCCTCTGTTACCTCAGGATCCACCATACAGAGCTTTGTACAAAAGGTCCCCAATGCTGGGGTCAGAAGGAGAGTGGCTTAGGTCCTTTGTCCTAAGTGGTTTACCATGCCTATTGGTCCTGGGATCCATAGTCAATAAATATAAGGGAGAAAAGACTCAGGAGAACTTGAGACAAAAAAAGAAAAAAGAAGATGGAGTCAGAAACAAAGTTAGTTAGGTCAATGACTTCTTCATAAAGAACTTCCTAGTGTTATAAGTTAAACTGTTTTTAAGGTTAAATTCGGGCAAAGAAAAACAAAATGAGCAAAAGAACAAGCATACAAATACAAGGTATGGGTTTCAAGAATTAAGAGATAGAACCATCTGGCAGTAGAAGAGAAACTACCCAAGTAATATGGAAAAGCTTACAGAGATTATTGAGAGACAGTCTAAAGTCAATGGATAATAGCAAACGTGGGAAGCCACTTAAGATTTGAGAACAGGGTTGTGATAATGGCTTAATTTTAATGAAAATAATTCCAAAGAATCACCTATGAAAATGTCATTTCCTAAATTATATTAATTAACTTGGCATGTGACCTCTACTCATCCACACAGTGGTGTGAAATACTAAGCATTCTTAAGAAGATAGTGCCAAGTTTTCTCTGTGCGAGTTAGGCAGAATATTAGGGTGCTTCTGCCTTAATTGTGTGGTAGAAAAAGCACCTGATGAAGCTTAGGATACAATGAATTTAGGATGCTGATCAGCAAGGTAACGGGATGCAAGAATTGCTTCAGATTCTGTGTAAAATAAGGATTGGGAAGAAATCATCTCTAAAGCACTCTATTTCTAAAAATCAGTGGTTCAATGATTCTATAATAGTTTCTGTATTCTTTGATTTAGCATCACTTCTTCAGGCATTTTTCAGTAATCATTTAACAATGCCAGGATGAAGTAGTATTGGTTGAGATGAGTCACTGGAAATACTATCTCAAAATACTACTATTATTTATGTAAAAACATTTCACAGCCTTTTCAAATAGATTGTATTTGTTCTGACAATTTTATTTCATTTCTACTTCTGCTGGAAGTTGTGGACATTATTTTGATTTTCACACACTCAGTAGGGTAAAAACTTCAGTGCTTGGGCTGGAGAAATGGTTTAGCATACTGTTTTTGTAGAAGACCAGGGTTCAGCTCCCAGTACCTACATGGTGGCTCACAACCACCTGGAACTCCAGTTCCCAAGGATCGATACCACCTTCTGACCTCTGTAGGCACCTGCATGCAAGTGCAGATGAATTCACGAAGGCATACACATATGCATAAAATTTTAAATTAAATTAATAAATATTTACTTATTTATTTGGTCTTTTTGAGAGAGGGTCTCCTTGTAGCCCCAGCCAGCCTGGAACTCACTATGTAGACCAGGCTGGCCTTGAA